CCTATGACCTGCGGGAGTGCATGTACATTAAATACCCCCATATGTACACTGTATGAAGTTTATCAGGGACAAAGTTTCTTACTTCTAAATTATCTGTGTATCATAGATCTGTTTATTCAAGCATTAGAGCAGACAGAATTTAGAGGTAATTTTTTTAAATATTATTGTTGCATTTAAAATATATGTTTCATTGCTCGAAAGAGGCGGGTTTTACTTTTTTAAAATTAAAACGTTATAGGATTTTATTTCCTTAATCCTTTATGAACCCACTTGAGACGGCTGGGCAAATGAAACGGCCCAGAGTTGGATGACAAAAAGACACCAACGGCCAATCCATCGGCCCAATAATACAACAAGCCTCGAGATTGATTGGCTGTTCTCTGCGCCAGTTAATCGGATGGCTTCTTGCATTTCTTGATCATCTCTCCATTTTAATGGCAGCTTCCATTGATCCTTTATGGTGTTCTATTTTTAGTGTGCCTAGTGACCCTTATAAATGCTTAAACAGTATGTGACCTTGAAATATGCCTAAGGCGTAAGAACCCTCAGTGGAACATTTTATGCTGTTTTTCACATTGAATCTCATTTAAATGGTTTTTTTAGGACTTATTTAGGCTTCAACAATCAGAAAATTTAACAAAATTCTGCAAGTACAACATATTTATATTAAGTGTAAAAAATTGCATGCATAAATTATACAAATCAGGATATCTCATTTGCATAAATGTTGAGAGATTTCAGTTTGATTCATAAATATCATATTAGTTCATTCAATTCCCTACAAGAATATATTTTTGAGATAATTAGTTTATAGTAAGTGCAGTGCTTGTGAGAAGGGTTCCATCTTCTTCAATTCTTGGCCCCAACACTCCAACAAGTTTCCATCTCAAGAGGGTTTCAAAAGATACTAAAATGAACCATACACATAATTTTTGTCATTGGTGCTTACCTGTTATCACTGTTAATTAAGTCAGATATTGCTTCTCTTGTATTTGCTTCCTTTACAAGATTATAATTTTTTTTATTTGATGCTATACCTAATATTATAATGAAGAACATCAGAAGTAAATTCAACACAGTGTAAGTCATAAGTCATATGGAGTCTGCTTTCAACTTTCAGTGCTTTCAGTTTCAAATTTTAGAGAAAAAAAGTTGAACATCCTGAAAACAACATCTTGATCATGAACATAAAGATACATAGTGTAGATATAACTAATACTAATACAAGAAGTTGAAGCAGATTTTTTTTTTTTTTTTGACATGCTTTACATTATTATTTTTAACAATTTAAAAAAAAAAAAAATTAAACTTAATTATTTTAAATAATAAAAAAATTTGAAAATCATAAAAAAAAAATATTTATAAAGAAAAAAAAAATAAATAGTGTAAATATAACTAATACTAATACAAAAATTTGAAGCAAATTTTTTTTTTTTTGTTGACATGCTTGACATTATTATATTTAACAATTTAAAAAAAAAAAAAATTAAACTTAATTATTTTAAATAAGTAAAATAATAATATGTCATAAATGTATGACTAAACCTATTTGAAGGTGACATTATATGTTTCTTAAGTTTAGTTTAGGTGTAACATTGATCATGATTTATTTATTCAAGAAAATATATATTTCTACCATTTACACAGTACTCCAAAAAAATTTTTGCATTGCACTGTGAAATATGGTTTTATTTCATGGCATTAGTTATCATAATTAACACTTTTGTTTTAAAAAAGGATAAAGTGTACAACTTATACCAAATGAATGCCTCGGCTGCATGCAGAAAGGTCTGAGCCAAAGATGTTGTCCAGGGCCAATAAACAAATTTCAATGATTTTTTTGTGGGAATGTTACTTTTCTTTAGGGGGGGGGGGGGGGTGGAGAGTTGTGTTCAAATACTAATTTTGAAAATTATAAGCTGGAGTTCTAGAATTGAAATACCGGTTCAAGTGACTATTTATTTATCCTGAAAATATTTTTGAGGCATTAATGAAGTAAACACCAAAACAATATATATCTTATATATCATACGGTACTTATGTATGCACATTTATTTATGTCTCAGCAACTACTCATTTGCTGTTAACATAACTGATTTTTATGGTGACAGTGTGTAAGGGTTAAATTCTGTGATATTACATTGTCATCTCGAAAATGATTATGCCAAACTGAATTCCACTAAACTAATTGTGGTGCTTACCTTGATAAAACATTTTTACATGTTCTTGATTTTATTTTGCCTTTAACTTAGATTTTTTTTAAAGTGTACTTAACATTTTAGCTTTTTTAAAATTTAAATTTCTTTTCAATCACATACTTAACGTAGGTTTTAAACTTTTGTTTATTTCATTTTTTGCAGCTAGAACTAGAGAATGGTCAGAAAAACGTCAGTGTACACTGGTACCTCGACTTACGAACTTAATTTGTTTCTGACTGTGGCTTGTATTTTAAACTCAGTTTCCCATTACGTCATATGGGAAGCGAGTCCGTTCTCAGATGAAATTTTATTTCTTTAAATCAAATAACAAAAGTGAACTACTCACTCCTAAATTAGGAAAAACCCAAAGAAATGTATCAGGAGTGAGAAGGAGCATTAATTGTAGTTTTGAAGGCAATAAAAATGAATTTTGTTTTCCATTACAAATTTTTACATGATAAACTTGTGTTTAGTATGAAAAAAGTCTACAATATTTTTTTAAAGACCTCTCTAAAATGATAAATGACATTTTCATTGAAGACATTGGTTGCTCTGGAAACACTAGTTCGTATGCCACTTCATCACTTATTCTTTCTATCCGCCACCGATGCTGCAAGATTTTTTTTTTACATCCCTTGTTAGGATTGTACTTGTGCCCTTTTTTGCAGCTGACTTCATTCTCTGAAGACATTTGCTCTTCCGCCTCAAACCTTACTTTTTCCTGTGCTCTTCTTAACTCTCGTAGCTCTTCAGTGGTCAGCTCAATGTTAAGCTCCTTTACCAGCTTCTCTATGTCTGCTTCATCAAGTTCCAAATGCTTGAATCTAGGTTCTTATATTTATATAGAGGTCAAGTGGGATATGAAAAAAGTTAGTATCTCAAAAAGTTCATATGTAGAGTGATTGGTAAGTCGAGGTACCTCTTTATACTCTATTAAAAACTATAACTTATAATCCACAATTATAGATTTTTAACTATGGTAAAAAAAAAGTGCCATTTTCTTATAACTTATTGTAATAAAATTGTGCCCGGTGGCGATTATATCTGTACACAAAAAAGTTGACATTTATTTGGCACCAAGTATTATTATAGTGTTTAACTTTGAGGAAGATAAGCCGAAAGTCCTCTTATATCCGTCCAGTTGGAATTTTTTCCCCAAACCTCTTGTTATCAGCTGTCTATTCTACATTATGTTTATTTTTTTATAATAAATATTCAATATTATCTTATGTCAACACATGTTTAGAGAAGTCTGTCTGATTCGATCAACTGATAAAAAGTCCAGTGAATTATTGTAAAAATTACAGGCCCCTCTTTCTATTTAATGCAGCGGTTCTCAACCTGTGGTTCGGGACCCCTTTGGATCGCCTAAGACCATCTAAAAACACATACTTTACAGTTATGTAGTATCAACGAAAATAATTTTGTGGTTGGGGGGTCGCCACAACATTAGGAACTGTATTAAAGGGTCGTGGCATTAGAAAGGTTGAGAACCACTGATTTAATGAGTGCAGTGAAGCATCTTTAGAACTTATGAGTAAATGTTAAAATCAATTTATACAACATCTTAATAGTTGGTTCTGTGATTTTTAAATATTTTTTTTAGGAGTTATCATCAATTTATGTTTTAGGTTGGGTAAAATAAACTTTTAATTTTAACGTAATGTAAATGGCTCCAACTTGTCTGTGTTATTTATTTAAGATGACTCTGCATTGCCATCACTAGTACAGAAACATATGGAGAAAAAAAATACAGCTATTTCAAATAGTATTTGGAAGATGTTAAAAAAATATCAAGAAGTTAATGATTTGTTATATCAGGAAGATGTTATAATTTCATGCCTTGTGATAGTGACCAATGATTGACCCAGCGATAAAATAAGTAGCATAAAATTGACTTTTTTCTGTTGTTCCTGCCACAAAAGCTCACACTGCTTCAGTGTGATTAAGGGTGTTGTATACTATGTCTGGTATACCGAAACTAACATGGAAAGTCAGTGTTCAGATCTGTTTTTTTTTTAAAATTTGCTACATTTGCCTTGAAGTTGATAATAATACACATTAAATTCCCTGAATTAAATTCAGTGTTTAAATCTGCAGCAGATTAATATGGTCACACAACAAAATTTTAATAATGAAATCGTGTGCATTACTTGTATTTATCTGCTATTGTCAGTCACAAAACCAGGCTTATTGCATAGTGAATGGTAATAAAGTCAAAATGTTATATACTTTCTGGGAAGGAAAAAAAAAAACAACGCAGCCACCTTTCGTTATTTCAGGTGGTTTTTTTTATGTATTACCGTACGACAGTGATTGTAATTCCAGCTTCAAGAACCTCCATCAACAATTAACATTTGCATGCCACTAGTGGTACCATCAGTACTTTGTTGCTGCCTTTTCTTTTTTTTTTTTGTGTGGTTTTATTACGTACGGTATTTAATAAAATTCAACCTGCTCAGTGAGATAACAAAATATAATTGCAATTTTTATTACCGTACGAAAGTGATTGTAATTCCAGCTTCAAAAACCTCCATCAACAATTAACATTTGCATGCCACTAGTGGTACCATCAGTACTTTGTTGCTGCCTTTTCTTTTTTTTTTTTGTGTGGTGTTATTACGTACGGTATTTAATAAAATTCAACCTGCTCAGTGAGATAACAAAATATAATTGCAATTTCTCAATTTTTTTTTGTTTCGGAGCTGAATGGTTTTTATCTTTGTAAAAAAAAAATTGTTGGACTGAATAAAGAATATAATTTGTGTGATGGGTACAACTTATTGGAATTATGAATAAACTTTTTCATTCTTCAAAAGTGATACCGGTAAATACAATCTCACGCAGAAAAGTTAAGACTTTTTATATGTGAATATATATATATATGAGCATTTTATTTTGTTGTATGAACAAATATAAATGAATTATTCAACTCTTCTTTATACATTGGGAAATCCATAAATAAAACAGTTATGCCTGAAATGAAAATGGATGACATCAAGTCACAATACCATGAAGTCAATTTCAATTACATTTCTTGCTTCAAAAATTCTGGACTTTTGAAGCTATGTAGTTCTACCAGGCCTGGAAAATGCTAACAGTGGATGAAATTATCATTTCAGCCATGCAGTTCTAACAGGCAACACAAATGGCAACAGTTAGAACAAATAAAAAATGATATATCTCAAATGTCTATTTTACCCGAAATATTTAATTATTGACACAAAATAAGATGATTTAAATAAAATGAAAGAATCATGGACTTATTCCCCGGCAGCTCCTCTCATATAATCACAAAGTCTTAGTAACAGCATCTTTTTTTTTTTTAAATACATGATCCAAATCTGTGGCATCAGTAGTAAAGCCAACCGTTGATATTTTTATCAATAGGGGGTTTGACACCTAAATAGGCCTTATTATGTAAAATGCACATTTCTGGAACTGTCATTTTTGAACCAGGCAGCACTTTATCTAAAATGGGCCAAGGGCCACTACACTGACAATTTATTGGCAATGAAGCTTCCTCTTTATATGCTTTATGATAGCAAGCAACAAATATGAATTTAAATGTATCCCCCCACCCCCCTCTGCCAAGTACCTTAATAGTCACACTCAGTTGTTGCAATGATGCAAATAAAAAATTTTTTTAATGTGCCCTGTTACCCAACTGTTTTGAAATGTCATTCACATTGGCAAAGTTTTGTTAAAATCTTAAAATCATCCATTTAAATCTGAAAGTACATTTTTTTTTAAATGTATCATCTTCTCTTTATCAGTTTATTGCTTTGTAATAACAAATGTTAAAAACTAAGAGATCACAATCTGAAGACAAGTTAGCAGCAGCAACATGATCTGCCTTTTATGTGTACAAGGGCTGTGTAAAATTGTATGACTGTATGCATATGCATATTAACAGAAAAAAAAAGTGTCATTACTTTTATTGCGCCAGGCTTTTTGGCTTTAAAGAAAAAAGTTAAAAACAATTTAAAAATCACAAACTAGGTCAAGGTGGTGAGAATTTAGAAAATTCTGAAAAAGGAACACACAATAAAAAAAATTTTTTAAGTTTTATAGGAAACATTCTAAAGTTTTGATACTGGATATCATGTGTCACACCATTCAGGTGTTTTTCAGTTACTTATGCTGTTGATAGCTAATGTCTCCTCACCAATACACATTATACATTAGTTTTGGGTTACTAAAGTCACCTTTAGCATGCAGACTCCAAATAGAGGGAATGTTATTATATCACAATGGACAAGATAGAGAGACATCATGCCACAGAGGGTAACATACATAATTGGTTGTAATGGGCAACAGATTTTAGGAGGGGCAGGTGTTATTATAAATCAAAACCTTTTAAACAACAGTGTTATGCCAAATATGATTGGGGGGGGGGGGCTGGGGGGGAAATAAATTTGAAAAACCAATTTTAGTAAATGCAATGATAATTTACTGAACTGAGTGTGACAGTTTGTATTGTGCTTGACAATGTTGTTATTCATCCAGCCTTAAGCCAGGGTAACAGATGAGAGAGAGAGAGCAGTTGTGCTCAATTACTCATTAAACAATATTAATCAAATAAAATATAAGTATACATTATTTATTGTTTGATTTTTATGGCTATTGCCCTTTATTTCTATCTTTTAAGTACAGTTGTCCCTTGAAGGCCACATTAAACCCCATTTTGAAGTCAAATTTGAGAAACTGTTTGCAAGTCACTGAGAAAATTCCAGGCCCACAGAATGCTGCTCTCAGTTTAGACTTATCTCTCAGGTTAGACTTATGCTGTGCTGGACTTATCTTTTTTCCTTCCTACTTTGTCAAAATTTAATTTGAAATCCTGAAGGTAATTTATTTCAGCAGTTGCACCTGAATTAAATTGACTGATCACCAAAATCATAAGATATATTAAGAAACTTCAAAGATTTATGTTAATGAATTTTAAAAAACTGAAGATGAATTGATTGATAATGATAAACTATGTATATCCATATATACTTCAAGACTGTCATTGAGAACAGGAAGTTATCAGATGACTTTTATCAGATAAGTTCATATTCCAGTTCCACTTACACATTTCTAAATTAAGAATTTAACACACATTTATTTATAAAAATGAAGATAAGCCAGAGAATGGAGCTTAGGGATGTTGCCGTACCATTTAAAAAACACAATAAAATTCCACTTCTTCTGTTGAGATCCTGATACAAAAAAACTAGCATTTTTTTTTTTAAACCTACATGACTTGAATACACAATAAAACTACCATTTATATAACGTGTCTTGACTTGAAAACATAATAGAACTGGAGGGGGGGCTAAACAAATGTCTCATATACAAAGAAATAAAATTCAAGTACTTGTGGGCGTTATCGATTATAGCTGGGCTGTGGCATGCCATATCCTGCCGTTGGTGGATAGGGTGCTGTGTTTCTTGTGCCATAAGGCGCAGGTCCAAGAACACCAGAGGGGTAGGGAGCTTTGGGTGCCGGACCCCTAGGTACTGGGTATGGGAGGGCGCTGTTGGACTGTGAAGAAGCGCTCCAGCTGTTTGAGGGCACACTGTTGGGTGTTCTGTGGGATGCATCTCGAATCAGTTCTGCAAATCTTTCACTTTTGATCCGTCGGACATGGGCGAGTGTGCGTTTGGGCAAGTACTGAGCAAGGAACTCTTCTATTTGCATGTTACTGTCACAGAAGCTATCAGCAAGTTGCTGTCAGGGGGAGAGAAAGCACATAGTACATTAAATATTTTTATGAACAAAAAGCTTAAAGCAGGGGTCTCAAACTCAAATCATCTGTGGGCCGCAGGAGGTAGAGTCTGAGTGCGACTGGGCCGCATCAAGTATTCCACAAAAAAGCTATTACAAATTCAATTAAGCACAACTGTTACAACGTGCTGAACCTTTATTAATAACAAATAAAAACATGAATGGTTCTCAAGAACTAGGCTACACTTTCTTCCTCCTACTCTTTGTTGCCAGAGACCTGGCAGCGCTTCTTCTTACACAGCTGAGCAACATTTGGCTTGAATGAGGAAGCAATTGAGACCCTCAGTATAGCTTGAAGATAATCATCAGTAAGTTTGGCCCTGAACTTTTACTTGTTAAAGTTCATAGGGAAAAGAGCTTTTCACACAGATATTTACTCCCAAAAAAGGCACATGATCCGCTTGAACAACCTGGAAATCTCAGGGAAGGTGGAGGACTAGGCTCTCATAAATTGTCCATGCTTGTCTATTTTTCCATTCACTTCCCTGAACTTAGAATTGCACTGAAGATCTATCAGCTCCATTAAAAACATTTTTTAATTAAAAAAAGGGGGAGGGAGGGAATCTTCCTCATTAAAGAAAAAAGGGTCAGCAAAAAGTTTCTCTTTGTGTTTTGAAGTCTAAAAACATGTAATCAAATTCTTCCTGTAGCTTTGCAATGGTATCGGTATACTTACTACTGAATGGTGTGCCCAAGTCCATGAGCATTGCATGTTGGGAAATGACAGAGGTTTCTCTAAATACTATAACACAAATTTTGTGCATAATGGCCTGACATTGTCATAGGCAATCTAATCCTGGTCTTGAAAATTCTTGTTGAGTACATTCAGCTCCTGTGTAATGTCAACAAGAAAAGCCAATTCTATGATCTATTTGGGATCACTTAGTACAGGAACTACCACCCCATCCGCATCCTTCTCCATGAAGGCTTTAAATGCTAAAACTTGTTCAAGCTGTAGGGAGTGACAGGCAATATTTATGAACCGGAATTATTAATGCGACGGAAAATGCTATTGTAGGGAGAATGAATTTTGATTTTTTTATCGTAGCAAAGGCCTTTTTTACTAACCCTATTGAAAGTGACCAAGCTGACAGGCTCTGAATTTTCCTCCCCTGTAAACACTAGCGGCAATTTTAAATTTGATTCTTTGATACTATGTCAGATTGCTACTATTTACACAATTATGGTTGTGCATTACCCAATAATTGACTTTTTAAACATTTCTAAAAACTGCTTTTTGGCTATGTTTGTCTCATAATATGCAATAAAATAAAAACTTTTAGTCCGACTTTAAAATGGTTCTTACGATTATAATCAACGTCCAAATGTATCCAAACATAATAAAAATCAGAATTATGACTAGCAGGAGAGATTCAACTGAAACCGTCGCGGATGGTCACATTAAAGATATGAGAATGGGTAAAACGTGCAGGCCGCATTAACACTAAACTTTGCTGTCATGTAGCGGGCCGCAAAATAACGTCTTGCGGGCCGCCCGCAAATGGTGGCCCACCGGCCACGAGTTTGAGACCACTGGCTTAAAGTAATATTTTCACATTGTCACCCATCAAAACATTTTTTTTTAAAGATTTGACCTGAATTCATTATAGCCGAGTTTCATCAAAATAAATAGTCAATTTTTATGTGATTAAAACTTATTGTACCTCAGATTCCTCTTCTGTTTTAGCTGTTTCAGTCTGCAGCAATGCAAGAATTGTGTCTAATGACTGTTTATCTACTAAACTGTCTGTCAAGAAAAAGAAAACAGTGTTAAAAGTGAATAAAAAAAAAAGTGTTCCATATTTCTACACCCATTCTTTCTTCCTTTAGCATTTCATGTCATAACAAAATAATGTAATTTCCTCTTAAGTGTAAACAGCAAGCATCTTTTCAGAAAAAAATCAAACATTAAATTACCACGGCCAAAAAAACTGAAAATGTTTTATGGGGCAAGTAATGGCAATTTATCAGGTTGTAATTCAATTTACATCTTATATCATTAGAAATGGAAAGCGGCACCCTGAGCTCAATATAAATGTTAAAAATATAACAAAATTATAATGATGAGAAGCATTGCAAAAATTTATTTTGAGTTCTAAAATTGATTTTTCAGAAAAAGAACTTTGAGATATTTGATCTTTAGTTCATGAAAGTGTTTTGAAAGAAAATGAAAGTTGCATTAGACTAAAACGTTTTCAAAAAGGGTCCCTCTTTAAGAATCATCCTCAGTGACACGACAGCCCATGTAGGGTTCTATTTGGATCGATCCACGGCTTTCCGCCTCCATGCACGGACCCTCAGCTGGTGTAAGTTTTTCTGTAAGTTGTCAATCCATCTCAGTCTTAGTTGACTGGTGAGCTGTTTGCCCCTATGTTTATGCCAGTAGATCATTTTTGCTGCTCTACAATCTGGAATCCTCTCAAGGGTGTCCTGTGCAGCGCATTCTGCCTTTTTTAATTGATGGGTCTTCAAACAATTGATATATATCTTGGTTTGCACGGATTCTCAATCCACCATTGTCCATCACCGGACCAAACATTTTGAAGAGGATTACCATGAATTGAGCAGGTTCTCTGCTTTTATAGTAAAGGAACAGGTCTCACGTGCCTAAATTACAATCGGTCTTATGATATTGGTGTTTACAGCCTTCTTTGTCCTCCTTGAGAGGTTTTTGATTCCTAGTAGCTTTTGTAGGCTAAAATAAGAATGGTTGCCTGCTTTTATCCTTTATTTGACCTCAGTCATTATTTCATTGTGCTCATTTATAATAGCTCCTAGATACTTCAAAGTAACCACTCTCTCAAAAGTGTGGCTCCTTATTTTGATGTTGTCACCAGTATTTGTGACATTATTTTCTATTTTGTCTGTGCTTCATTTACCTTCACACTGGCATCTTCAAGTTCTCTGAATGCTTTAATTCTATCATTGCCCAGTAGCGTTTTGTCATCCACATATGCCAGGGACTTCAATGGTTGGCTATACAAAGTTCCTGATGGTTGCGGTTCCGTGTTGTTTCTCTGGAAGTAGTTTGTGATAATTCCACTGGTGCTCCCAAGGATCTGCTCACTACATCTTTACAGTTTTCTTCCAATTAGTTTAGTGAGGATTTTCTAAGTTAAAAAATCCTCTGTTCATATTCTATTTTCTGGGTCTTTAAGAATAGTCCTACAAAGAAGGGTAATTTTATGTCTACTAACTCAACATTCATTAAAAAAAATGTAATTTGTTGAAAAGGTTAAAATTCAGCATGATTTACAATTAAAAGGAAAAGAAATATTATCTTTGTGACACCCATCATAATAATTATGTTCAATATTTAATCATGTCAGTTACCTAAAACTGCCTTTTTCTCAGATAACTCCGACTTCAATTTATTCAGTGTGTCGTAGCTTGAGGCTAGACTGCTTTTCAAATTTTCAAGCTTTGGCTGCATTGACAAATTGTATTCTGCCAGACTTTTATTGGTTGCTACGATCTCATCATGCTCTATGTTAAGAGCCTTAACCTGATGAGAGACACAAAAAAAACAACAGAAAGCTAATAAACTTCTGAGAGTAATATGAGACCAACCCATACAATGAGCATCTTCATAATTTTTAACAATAAATACTCTTTGAGTATCCCTAGGCTTGGTGACAGCCAGAGCGTTTTTCACCCTAATGGACTATTTGCTGTACTATTTAAACTAGCCAGATGAGACTTCAAGCTAGTGATCATACTCTGCAAGGCAACTGGAGGTGGGCTTGCTTGCTGCTTTAAGGGCTTACAATTTCATACCCCCGAGACCAGCTGATTGGTCAGGATAAAAACATTAATCATAATGCAAACCCTTCTGCTGACAATAATCCCCTGGTTGCCATTGGTAGGACTGCAGAGATACTGCAGCAGAAAGAGATTAACTCACAAAGAATTAAAATAGAAACCAGCCATTATCTTATGCAAATTGACACTGCTTTCAGAAAAATGTAGTTGACTGATGTATCTAAAACACACACAATGTGAGTAGCAATAATTTGCCAGTTTATACTTTCGCCTTTGTAGGTAAATTGGAAAAATACTATTGGAAGTCATAAAAAAAATACTCTGAAGTAAGAATACAGATCTTTAATAAGAGTCATCCATTGTGGCACAATCCCAATTAATTACACCACATCATAAAAGGCAAAATAACAAAAATAAAGATGTAAATGTAATAATTTCATGGCATCTTCTTTTACATTTGCATCAAACCTGGCAAAATTTGAGGACTCTTGCAATCAGAGTAAGTCCACAGAGCCAAAGTCTTCAAACAATTTTTAAAAAATTTTTGGATTAGATTTCTTATTGTTTTTTTTTTAAGGTTTCAGATAAAATAACAGCAATTATTTTAAGCATCATATTAACAGACCTGTGGTAGATCATCAACAAGACCCTGAAGTTTAGATTCATTGTCCAACAGATGCTGAAGTTCGCTTCTGTCTAGATGCTGCAACAGAGCTACTGCAGCTTGTTCATTTACTTTGGATAAGGGCCCAGGAAGATTGGATGGCGGATCACTTCCAATGGTAGGCGGTGTGTAATAGGATGGATATGAATTTGTGCTGCCACCCCCATAATTACCACTATGATAATTAGAATACATGTCTTTAATGATTTAGCTGTTGCCGCTCTCTGGAGATACATAAAAGAATCACATGAGAGTAAAATTTGAAAAGTTCCATAATTGTAGTAGGCATCAAAACAGTGTGAGCTAAGCAACAATAGATTTTTAAAATTGATTTTAAATATCAGAAAATGTTCACATAAAATAGCCACTACAAATCAACCAATATTGAGGAATCAGTTTCAAAGATTTGATTTATTTAGAAAATAATTATAATATCTGAATCTGAAGTTGACTGCATTTTTTGGACAGCAGCCAGTGAGTCACAATTACCAGTCTGTATTAATATCTAGCAATGTAAATGGTATTGACTTTTTAAATTCTGTTTCATTATATATATATATAGCCTACATTATATATGTCTTCAACTATAACATCATCAATTCTTTGGACTGTGCTGCTAATAATCTGAATAATCATAATCATATAAGTGTTGTTAAGCCTTACGCACCATCACAATCAAAAAATCTACTCTACTCTGTCACTACTCTAATTTAATATTATTCTAAAAAAAAAGAATTAAGACAAACTTTCTGCATAGCTGTTTAGTATTTAGCATTATTTTTTATGCAATTGAAGTATAGTATACTGTATACTATTGACTATCTTAAACTAACTTTATTTAACTTTAGTACTTACTAGCTGTATACTATACTATTACTATTACTCATTCCTAATTTAATTAACTATAGTCTATAGTAATTATAGGCCTATGGGTATAGCTATACTATGCCTATAGTATAATACTATGCCTATATAGCCTTTATAGTTTATAGATTATCATTATCATAGATGATAGGCTGACTCAACAATTATAAATAATAAATACTTACCAATAAAATTTTACCAATAACAAAAACAACGTCAACATTAATCATGAACAATATTTTATGAGCACGATTCAGATTGTTGGTATATTGACTATTTTAACAATTTAAAACTGCTGTGTTCAATACAAGTACATTATTTTTGTAAATCACTGGTGACTAAATAGTAAAATAAATGCGAAGAAATCCCAAGAAGTGAAGACTGTACCACCATACTACAGTCACAGAAGTGAGATCATGTCCTAAACAAAGTGATTACTTTCTTTAAAAAGTCTCATAACTAGCCAAGAAAAAATGGGCGTTTACTTTATTTCGCTAAAATATATTACTACCGAACAAATGTTCAAACTGTTCCTGCTGATAAAAGTAATGAAGAAGACATATTTATATAAATAACTCTTATTTAGGCAATCTACACATAGTATTCTTTCGCAACAGTATTTTTCCTATTCACTGGGTTTTGAGTCAAATAAAATAGTTCGAATACGATATGACAAAATAATTTTTTTATGCTAGGTCAATGGACAATTATATATATTTTCATTGAATATTTAGTGAAGCTCTATGCGATACAATTACACTCGAATTGAAAATCATTTTAGTAAAATTATTGTTAATTTTTATTCAAATGAATACTCTTTTGGTTCAAATAAAACTCAATACTTTGGTATCGATCCTCGATTCGATATAATATTTAATAATGTGTCAATTTCTATTTATAGAACTATTTACTTGAAGAGTAGTTGCCCTTGAAGCGAACAAGCCTACTTTTCAACGAAAAAAAAAACATGTACTGTAGATTTATGTACTTTAAACTTTTTACCTTTGAGACCCCCCCCCCCCCAACCCCTTTTTAAAAAATGCAGCGCGTAATCGTTGAATAGACAGTTGAAGACACGCTTATATTTTAAACATGGATTGTGTCGCTGTATTACAGTCCTTCGCTGTTTGGTAGGCCTGGTAAGATTTTTTTGTCGGATGGGTAGGAGCTGGGGCTATGCTGAAATTCACCTTAAATATTAAAAAAAACCTCCAATGGACTGATGACAAGAGGCTCGGTTACTTATCCCCTTAACCGCCTTTCAATCCCCCAACTACCAAAAAAAAAAAAATCCCTATCTGCCCTACATTGCATTCATCTCTACCATCTCCCCGGTCACCATCACATGCTTCCTCGCACACCATTATTATACTCACTCACCCCTAAATGCCCTACGCCCAAAAATCTCACTACTATGTCCTCATATGCTTTTTTATAATATATTAGTTTGTCCTTCCACTTACACTCGATCATGATCATTTTAATAATCGGATTCGTGTTGGGCGGGATTCTGTCTGTGGGGGCGCAGATGGCTGATGAGACTGAGTCCGATTTTTTTTTTCGAAATCAGGGTTGCCAGCTCAATAAAAAAAATGCAATTTACGGACACATATTTTAAATTAGAGATTCCAAGATGATGGTCCGCGGACCAGCACTGGCCCACGAGCCCTATGCTGCCACATGAATATTTATGGTCGATTATAAAAAAAATATTATTAACTAGAGCTGAACCGTGTGAAGTCTGTGTACACCTGGTCCGGGTATTTTGAGAAAATGCCGGATGGGTCCAGGTGTTACAACAACAAACAAGAGTTAACTTCGCATGTAATATAATATGTTTCCTATACCCTACCTGTCAGACTTAACACAACAGTCATAAAGACAGCCCTACACCCTCCCTGCCGGCCTTTAAACAATAGGCCTACGGACAGTCCTACACGCCACCTTTGACCACTAAAAAAATAGGCGTACAGACAGCCCTACACCATACCTGCTAACATTTAAACAATAATCCTACAGACATTCCTACACCATTCCTATGTATCTTTATGATTAATATCATAGCAATCTCCCCTTAAACTCTAAAGGAAAAAAAAAATCAATCTTTTTACAGAGTTCAACCGTCACGCATGACCAGGGCCGGCTCTAAGGTTGCTGGCGCCTTGGGAACAGTTATCTTTGGCGCCCCCTATTAATTGCAATCATTAAAAATGTTGCCAGGAAAAAATCTAAGGGTTATATTTATTATTTTTATATGAGTTTACTACCTAGGTTGTTATTTAACAAACGATGAACAATAAAATTAAAATTGTATTTATTAACTTGAATTTGGACAGTATGAACAATTAGCCTACCGTGGGCAGTATGAACAATTAGCCTACCGTGGGCAGTATGAACATTATCCTACCGTGGGACGTGGGAAGTATGAGCAATTAGCCTACCAATGGCACCTTTTTTTTTACTAGCCTTTAGATCAGAAAATCTTTTTATTTCACTTTCTATATTCATACTCTTTACATTATCATTTTCTATGGACAAAATTTGCCAAATAGTTCCTTCTATCTTGGGACATGGATGAGCGTCTTTATGTTTTTATAAGCTTTGGTTCTCTCGCCAGCGGCTACAGTGGTTCTCATTTGTAAGCATTATTTTGTAATGCTACATACGGATTCGGCATGAAATCCTATTACTCATTAGTGTTTATGAATTTATCCAGTGACTTCTACTTCTATTGGAAGCTTTCCATCATGAGGAAATCATTATTTGGCTATTTCTAGTTCAGCCGACAGATCACGTCTATTTATATAGCTGTTTTCTTGATACCTTAACTTTGCTGCTTTTGAGCTTATCTTTTTCTGGCAGATTTTTTTTTAGGTCATTTAAAAATCCCCATGTGTTATTTAAACTTTAGAACATTTCAAATATCCATAATAAATAATTTATAGCTCTGTCCATTATTATTTTGAAAACTTTATATATTTATTTTTTGGGGCCATCTGCATTCCCTTTCTTCTCCTTATTTTCTTCTTCTAAACATGGACTCTACATTTAATTCTGTAGCTATTTTTGTGCTGACAATTGCATTTCCAAATCCATTAGCACGATAATCAATTAAATAATCAGTGACACTATTCATAAGTGAAACTGCAGTCGATAGTTCCGATGAGGTGTCTTCTTAGTTTTGATGACAATATTTACCCTGCCTAAGATTTCATACCAGGCTGTGAGTCTGTCAATCTATAAACGTTTTCTTTCGGTTGTGTGATTCTGTCAATCTCTAAACCTATGTATCTACCTGTGCTGTGATTCTGTCAATCTATAAACCCATGTTTGTATCAGAGCCTTGATTCTGTCCATATATGAACCTAAGTTTGCATATGTGCTGTGTTTTTGTCAATCTGTTACCAACCAGTGAGACGTGGAAAAAATTCGTTGAATTAAAAAAAGGTATGTCAAAGCATTTCTGAGGAAGATGTCATTGGCGCTGTAAATTTCGAGTAATCTTTTGTCTTGAACTCATAACGATCTTGTTAACTGGCAACGTCATTGCATCAGAGAGTGTTGGGTGGTGAAATGAACTCAAGAAACTACAACATTTCAAAAGTCAACAAGGAACTTCATCACTTACGGTAATTAAACAACCCTTGCCTTAAAGACAGAGTTTTTCGAATAAAATCCTTTATATGCCTTTTTAAAAATTATTTTATTTTATATTAATATCCCAATGTCCCACCCGCATTTATACCGAAGATTTATTTCACCAACTATTTCAGAAAAACAAAATAAAATATTACGCATTAAACGCACAAAAATAAAAAAAAAGAATTTCGTTTAGCGAAGTTATAGGGAATTTTATTTCGTGAAATCAAATCAATGGCATTAGATATTTCCTTCATCTTCCCCTTGAAAAATAGGAATAGTAATGATTTTTGTGGGGTCGGTTTTGGGGGATGGGTCTGGAAATTTGATATAATTTGTTGTCAGTGGCAACAAGTCTATGCGCCAAGTTTCAGCTCAATAGGCTGACGGCAAGTGGGTCAAATAGCCGTCTGAAGATTTTGCCATACAAACAAAAAAGCGAAACAAATATAAAAGATTTTAAAAAGCCAACAAAAGAACTAATTTTAAAAAGGACATCAATCAGTACGACATGAAGGTAAAAATAAATAATCTATAATTAGGCAAGTTAAATATAATTATAATTCGAAGCCGTCTTTCTAACGTGTTTCAATGATGACACAGTTTATGCATTGTGACAGGTGATCAATTCTGTACTGCGAAGTTAGCATAAAAATAATTGTTAACGAACCATGTCTCCATTCATCGCGGCCATGTTCTGATGTGATTAAGCATTGATTAATTAGTCAGACTGTCTTTGCTTTGGTCTGTTCATTATAATTGGTTAATGTTATAATTGTATTCGTCGGTACTTATTCCAGAGATGCTTAAACTGGGGTCATCTGACTCCCTTTCGGGTCTAAGATTCTTTTGGTTTAGAAGGCCAGTGGAATCAATCATATATATATATGTGTGTGTGTGTGTGTGTGTGTGTGTGTGTGTGTGTGTGTGTGTGTTTGTGTGTGTGTGTACCATTGCATTTTAAATATGTGTAACTTAAAGGATTTAAATATATTGGTATATTCATGAAACATGTAACCACTCCTGAACTATAGTTTTGGAAAACGTACTGAGAAACACAGAAGTCTTATGTCTAAAGATGAATTTTTAAACCGATTTTCACATCTCTAACTCTAACAACCTTGTGGGGTTTTTTTTTTTAGAATTAGAAATGTTGTATCTCAATAAAATTTACTCAAAATTTTCCATGAGATTCATTTTGCAAAAATTGGAAAGTCATTTTTTCCTTAATTTTTAAATCTGTTTCCAATACTCTTGTCACCTTGTGCAATGTTCACAATTAAATTAGTATTTTTCCATTAAAATTTTTATTTTAAACGTTTTCACCAGCGTCCCTTTTTGTAATTCCAGCNGTTTTTTTTTTTAGTTGATCCAATTTAGTTCAAGGAAAATTAGAATTATTAAATAAATTTGGATTTTTTTTTTTTTTTTTTTTTCTTCTTTTTATTTTTTTATGAATTAGAATTTTTTCGTTGTAAAAGGAAAAAATGTGTGTAAAATTTGATTTTTTTTTTTTCATTTCTGTAAACTGGAATATATCTACTCAATTTGAGTATAATTAAACATAATTTAAACAAAGCCCTTGTAGCAAAAAGGGCATTTATGAGCGCAAAATAAAACTAGGAGTCAGTCAAGCATCTCCTGCGCGAAGTGTAGCCGAGAGTGTCACTACAGAATCTGGGCACGACGATATTAAGTCATAAGATACTCGAGAAATTGCCAATGACACATAAAATTTATTTTGTGTTCTCAAGTGTGATCTGTATCCAATGAAATAATTACACATTTCACAGTAATAAAAATTTGAATCAGTGCCAAAATTCTGGCAAAAAAATATTCAAGAAACATTGTCAATTATCAGTATTCTTTTCTTACATGTTTGATAATATCCCGCTTATATTATGTTATACTTCACGGAAAAATGATGGTTTCCCCGTTTCTTTGATAATAACTAAGTAATATTTTGCAATTTACCATTATTATTTTCAGTATATTTGGTATCTGTAATACTGTAATATTTTATGTTCTATCACTAAAATATGACCAGCCCTCATATATTTCATGACTATCTGATGACATCCCACGAGGCCTAACATCGCACTATTCTATGATAAAATCCTTCTGATCCTTCTGAATCTTGGAGATGGGTACCCCCGTGTTTGATATCTCCTTTGGCCCTCACTGACATTTTCACATCGTAGTCCTTCCAGGTTTTGACCACATACCATCCACTGCTGTTCTCGCGCCACACATAAATGACTTTTGTCTTTGGATCAAGGACTCTTTCCTCTAAGGAAAGATCAAGAAATAAAACGCAATAAATAAAATGTTAACAAAACAATTTGTAATAATGGGGATGATTTGATTTTTTGTGTGTTGTTTTTAGTCTTCTGATACAAATCTGTGTCTTATTTTAAGAGCCATTGTTGTGTAGACGACGTGTTTACGTCCTCTTTCCCCGTGAATGAACTCTAGCTGACCCCAAGTTCTGTACCGCATTTGGGGTGTGGCTAACTGAAAATAGTATATCTTGACCTTTATTATTGAGGGACAGGGAGGATGGTCGGGAGATAGTTGGGGCACTATTACCATAGAGATTTGCTATACGAGACAGAATTTGTTTACTAACTTTTGCTGTGTGTGTATATTCTTTTTAATCATTGTACCGTTTGACAACAGTGTATCTTCTTCAACATTGTACCGGTACAAGCCAATCATTATACTGTAGGTCAGTAGCTTTAGTTTTATTTCTTTTTGAGTTTTTAATTCATTGTTTAATAAAATTTATTTACAATAATTAGCCCTAGTTTGGGTAGTGTTTTCTTTGTTTTTGTATTAAAATATGGTATCGTCTTTCGTTGTGTATTGTTTTAGAACGAGCCGTATAGTTAAATAACAGGATACGTAACAGACATCAATTAAGGGAAAGGATACATATCAGAGTGTGTCTTATTTAAAGAGACATCAATTAAGTTACAGTATACGTATCTGTGTCTTGTTTTACGAGACATACTCCATGAATAAAGTTACCATTCAGCACATCATGACGCTTGGGGAATGAATGTAACTTGTTCAAACTGCAGGAAACTGATAGCAGTTTCAAGCATGCACTTTGATTGACCAGATTCTTGATGGCCAGTGGTGCAGCTCCAAGCCGAGAGAGCAGCTGCATGTTCGCCATTGTAACCTCCTTTCGGGCGATGGATTATATCGTGATGTGTGACGTCTTCGATTTTGTTTTTAACTATTCGAGTGACGTCAGAGATAGTGGGGTGGCTTCCAGGGTATTTGTTGAGAGTGGAAACATTTTTTTTTTTAAATGCGATCAAGGTAAATGTGTCTATGTATTACATTTGTGGACTGGAGTTTCCAGGCCGTCCAAGATAAAAATCGAAAGTGACCCTTTCCTTTCAGTCGAGGGGTTTTTTTTAAGCCAGAAATCGTCTTACTATGACATGCTCGGAAACTTAAACATTTTCACACGACAAGCCTCCGTTAAAATCCTCAACATCAAATGGCAGGACACTGGGAGGTACTGGCACAAGTAACAAGTAAGTCTCCCCAGCATATACACTTTATTGATGCAGCCCAAGCTTCTCTGGCCGGGAAATGCTGCGAGAATCCCAGACAAACGCATTCACAAAAGAATAGCTTATGGCGAGCTCAAGCATGACAAGCCGTCAGTTGGGAGACAGAACAAAAAACACACTGAAAATATCTTTTAAAGCATTTCTCATTAACCCAGACACGAGAGAAATCACTTGTACCGAGACTCGTGGCTCTCATTCTTACACAAAGGCTCCATGCTACATTAGGCAAACAGAACGCCTGATGTGGAGCTCAAAAAGACAAGCCAGAAAGCCCCGAGTTAACTCAGTATCTGAAGTTGTCTCATCCTTCCCCTGCACCTTCTGCACAAGAACATTTCGTGCCAGAATCGGCCTAATCAGCCATCTGCGCACCCAGACAGGTTCAGCCCGAGCATCAATCCGATGTTGACAGTGGTTATGATAGATTTTCCACGGACGAACTAACAAGACCGACAGTCATGACACAGACTTCTTCTTTTTTTTCTGTCCAGAGGTGGTAATGCTGGCGATATGCCGCAACGTGTTATGCACGCTGTTCATGTGGTGGAATTAAAGGATGGCATTAACAAACTTAATTCTCCGAGGTCTCCCTCTGAGCCCTGAAAATGGAGCGGCTGCTGTTGTAGAGTTCAATGCAGTTTCGTTGATAGGTGTTGTAAATGGATGGTCAAACGGATTAATTGGCTGCTGAACTAACTACTGGCTGACTGAGATGGCACCAAACACCTGTTTAATTTCATGGTTAAAAAAAATTAGTCCATCTCCTTTTACTAGCTGCTCGCCTTAAACATCTTATTTCGCAGTTGAAGATTTTTCTCTCGAGCCTCTTGGCGCCCAGGTCGTACACTGGTTAGTAAGGGCTGGAATAAAGACAGCAATAATAAGTCTGGATTTTGTCTCAATATTTATTCTCAGGTTTCTTAGTAGCTGATTTTCATTCCAAAAATTTGGCAAGTTTTGTTCAGGACATCAACATGGTTCTGCACAGTTCCTTGTTGTTATTCAGGATTTAGCAATGAGTCGATATCTCGGGATTTAGATTTGCATTTCTTTATTATTTTGTCATTTCATATTGTGAACAGCACCGGTGAGTTAACGCAGCCCTGTCTGGCACAAGATTAAAGGTGATATATGCAGCTCTGTCGGACACAAGATTAAAGGTGATATATGCAGCTCTGTCTGATACAAGATTGAAGGTGATATATGCAGCTCTGTCTGACACAAGATTAAAGGTGATATAACACACTGTCTGATACGAGATTAAAGGTGATATAACGCAGCTCTGTCTGATTCAAGATTTTACTTTAAACCCCCTCAGAACAGAGGTGGGCAAACTACGACCTGCGAGCCACATGCGGCCCGGCAACTGATGTTATGCGGCCCCCCAAGGGCATTTGGAAATTTAAAAAAAGAATACTTCGTTTTTAAGTTATCTAGTTGAATTTTACAGAATTTTATGTACCGTTATGATTGTCTTAAATTTTTTTTATAACAATTTCTTTCCAATTATCTATTTTTGCAAACAGTCCTTGACCTTCGTAATGTAATGCTAATAAGTCAAAATATATATGCGGCACTCCAATAGCTTTTCATTTCTCAATGTGTTCCCTACGCACACAAAGTTTTCCCACTCCTGCCTCATATGGGCTAAGCACAGCATGTAGACTCCTTAATATTATCAAGGAGCCGTCCTTACACTCCGCGTGTTTCCAACACCTCCCAGAGCCTAGTTCTGTCCATCCAATCAAAAGCTTGTTCCAAGTCGACAAAAACCAGATGAAGCTGCCCCGTGCCGGATTGAGAATGCGTTGTGCTATAGGCAGTGGCGTAGCGAGGGTGTTTGGCGCCCGGGGACAAGATCCATTTTTAGCGCCCCTTTTTCTTTTTTTTCAACTCTCAAACCCATTATTTTCATCAATAAAATAATATCAAAGCACATTTTGGCGCCCCTAACTAGCTGGCGCCCGGGGACATCTGTCCCCCCTGCCCCCACCATGCTACGCATCTGGCTATAGGCAAGAACGAGGAATACCAACCTTTAATAACAACTCTTGATCAGACATCTATCACGACTAGTTTTCAGCTTTGTGAGAGACTAAATGTTCCATTAATTTTTGACTTGTACATCTCAATGATGATAATATGTAATTATATTTTTTTTTTTAATAACTTATAATAACTTAACTTCTGAAATTCTTCATTTTGCAACTTTGTTATAGCGTTATGAGCTTTAAAAATGTAATAGTTGATTTCAGGATAGACTGTTTCTGCAGAGTTCTTTATATAAATAGCCTACTCAAATAAATTCCTTAAAATCCATGCAATAATAAGTTCATCAAAGTGTTGAAATTATATAATAATTAACAGTTAATTTCAAGATAAATGTTTTTATTCTTTGGAAAAGCGAAATCTCGAATTATCTTGTTCATATCCAACATTCCGTATCCGGAAATTTGATCGAAAGAAATTTCGTAGACGGTAAATTGATCGACGGTAATTTGATCGAACGGAAATATGGTCGAATCTTTTTTTCCGTTTTTACGTTTAAATTTTGCTTCAAATGTCTTTTTGAACGCATTATTTTGTTTTACTATATAGTATAGTGCGTTCAAAAAGAAATTTGACGAAAATTTTAACGTGTGAACTGAAAAAAAGATTCGACCAAATTTCCGGTCGATCAAATTACCGTCGATCAATTTACCGCCGACGAAATTTCTTTCGATCAAATTTCCGGCATTGGCACATACACATCTGATTGGAATAAGTAAAAATGACCCAGACACGCAGCCCCGCCATTCGCACCCGGTTACCATTAGACTTTAGACTCAAGCTATTCGGACGTCATTTGTGGTAGTTTATTTTAATTAAACTGAAGAAGTAAGTTTACAAACATATAGTCCATTCAATTATCTTTCATTTTGATACCATAAGATGGGGCTGGGTGGTGCTAAATGCTGATTTAAAAGTTAAAGAAAAAGCACCATTTAACCCCCTCCCCCCTGTCACAAACTGTCACAAATCTCGGAAACCCCCCCCCTCTAAAGTACGTCACACTTTCGAACAATTTTTTTAAAAACTTAACATCTATTAAAATTTAATCTAAAACACACTTCACTATTAAATTGTATAAAAATATAAAATTTCCACTTAAAAGAACCATCACATTATTAAAATTATTTTATTAATAGTAGAATAGTTAATTGTCAACAGTTGTCACAGTTATTCATTGAAGCAGTAACTCAATCTAGATTGAATTTGAAAACAAAAATTGCAAAAATTAGACTAGACAATTATATAATACACATCATTTATCTGCTGCTTTTTAATTTACAAAAGGTGAGATCAAGTTTTAAATAATTTCCGATTATGCAATCTTTATACACAGGATATGAGGTAAATTAGCGAAACTTTACCTCGCCCAGTATTAAATTAAAAAAATGAATTTGACTAAAAAAGACTAGATTGACAAATTATAATGTGACAAACTCTTGTGCTATATTGCAGCAGGACGTAAGTCGTCCTTACATTATAACCAAGTGCAGCAGGACGTAAGTCGTCATTACATTATAACTAAGTGCAGCAGGACGTAAGTCGTCATTACATTATAACTAAGTGCAGCAGGACGTAAGTCGTCATTACACTATAACTAAGTGCAGCAGGACGTAAGTTGTCATTACACTATAACTAAGTGCAGCAGGACGTAAGTCGTATTTACATTATAACCAAGTGCAACAGGACTAAGTCATTGCATGTGACTTTAGTATCAAATCCTTAAAGATGATAGACAAAGTTTCGGTCAATAAAAAACAGAGGCGATGATGGGGGTCGCCTCGTCAGTTTGAAATAGTCCCCCATGTAGATGAACCCCCTCATATCCCCGTGAATGTGAATGGGGAAGGCAGACTTCTTTCTGACAGCATTTGCACTTTATAGGTCAGTCTTCCCATCCAAGGAAATACATTGGTGCTAACTGATCTGCTGCTGCAGTACGAGGACCATTTAATTCCTCTAACAGTCAGTTTATTATTGAATAACAAGTCGGTTTAATTTTGGCAATAAACCTTAGATAATTTAGTCAGGGGGGCATAAACAATTTTGTAAAAGGTATCAAAATACTAATTTGAGATCTAGTTTGGGGCACTGAAACTTTACAAGTGATTACTTTGAAGGTCTTGCCATGCCATGACTGCTCAAGTTTTAATTTAAACAATGAGATTTCTCGTTCGTTGAAGTATTTGAATTAGTTCATTATGTTATGCCTACCCAACAAACTTTTAAAATAAGTTTTATTTGCAAGGACGAGAACATGGTGATTACACATTTCAAAAGTTTACATAAAACATTCTTTCCAATTAAAGTGATATGTTCAACACAAAAAGTGAAGAAAATTATTTTCATGATAATTTTTTTTTATTAATGTGTAAAATGTGTAAACTAGTGTTTCATCGGATCATCATAGCTATGAAGACATTGAAACTTTTAACAGCAGTATGGGACTAATCTATAGATGGATAAACACAAGTTTTGAAGTCGTGAAAGCTTTTCATCAATTAAAAAAAAAATTTCTGTTTGGAAGCTTTCA